ACTCAGTATTTGACAAAGCGAAACTGATTCTTCGCTTACAGCGTAGCCGAATCTACATCACTGGTAATTTATCTGATGAAGGTGAAAGAGTACATACCGTCAAAATAGATGACGTTTTACCTATATAAATTAAAGAAAAAAAAACTTAACTTGATAATAAAACCATTGAAACGTCCATATTTAAAAGGTATATACCGTTGTGAATTCACCCGCAAATATTCATATTTAGCAAATGTCCATATGGACATACGAAATGTACTATATATTCAATACAAACATGGCGGTATCACATGTTCACATGGAGAACGGACGATATTGTGTACTTTCATAGGCCGCTCCATGAGGAAAGCACAGAAAGCTGACTGCGGTAAATGTTTAACCCATGTTTGTTTATGTCCCGTGTATTTTGTCCGCTTGCATTGTGTAAGATACCTGATGGGGACCGGTCAAGCATTATCAGGTGGTGCGGTACACTCATGCGGGACTGAGTTGTTTACGTGTGCATTTTGTCTATAAACCATTTTACGCAAATTATGCTTTTTATAATCGGTAAATATTGTTTGTATGAAGAAGATAATTGTGTGGTACTTGTGTGTAAATTATCGAAAACCTAGATTTATTTGTACATTAAAATAAATGTGTAGTTAGAATATGTGAAGTGACATTAAAATTACTTCTGTCATATTTTCAAACTTTTGCCAGCTTTTTACCCAGGGATTATCTGGAGGATCATTTGTTGAACAGACAAGCCTACACACGAGACAGATCTGACCGTGACAGGGTCATTTGGGTGTGAAACGGCAGCGGTACGACATATCCTAAGACAACCAGCGGTTTCTTTGGTAGCCGGTTCCAATGTGAAGGCCATAAAATACCATTCAACACTGCATTAGGGTTCAATTCGGTTGTTTATTACGGGTAACACATATCAACAAATGACAAATACAGACCATAAATACACATTCGTACGAATTTGCGCTCACAAATATAACATTCATTCAATTTAATATTGGCTCAATTAAAGGTGAACAACCACCAAATGCTAAAATAAGTCAAATTTAGTGTCACAATATTAATAAAAAATATCATAACTAGTTGTCATAAGATTTTTTCAAAGAAAAGTCCGTATTTGTGCATAATTTATTATTTGGAAACGGCTCGCTTAATCGTTCACCTTGGGAAGCACAGAGTATGTACGCGGTTACTTCCTTTTGACTGTGACGTCATTTGTGACGACCGGAAAGCGCGCCAGCTGTCAGTTCGGAGGCAGTCGTCCGGAAAACATAAACAAACATGGTACACTGTGCTCTGCTGAACTGTTACAGTATCCAATAATGGAGAGAAAATCAGTATTTTCCTGTTCCCAAAGGCAAAAAGCTGCGGAAAACATGGACAATTAAGGTAAAGAGAGAGGAATTTTCTCCAACCTAACGCACGAAACACTGTCAAAACCAAATGTTATACAAGAGTGTGATTATATTTATTATTCAGGATAAGTTTTATACTGGTTGTGTGCTCTGAGTATGTGAGGGTAAAGGTGGTCTACAAGGTGTGTGATCTGAGTATGTGAGGGTAAATATGGTCTACAAGGTGTATGATCTGAGTATGTGAGAGTAAATGTGGTCTGCAAGGTGTATGATCTGAGTAGTTGAGGGTAAATGTGGTCTACAAGGTGTGTGATTTGAGTATGTGAGGATTTTTTTTTTTTTGTCTACAGTAAGTTTGTGTGATCTAACTGTTTTAGTAAAAGAAATATGCAATGAATCGGTATAATTGTTAAAGTTTTGTATAATTTAATTTCTGTAAATACAAAGAGCTTCTCAGTTTTAGTTTGCCCTGAATAAAGTCAAAAGTATTCCGAAAATTGTGTTTTTTCTGTTGTTATTTTTATTTTTTTTATAAAGATAAAATAATACAACCAAATATATCGGAGAAATGTATTTCTCTACATAATGCTGACCTTCACAAACAAAGACTTGAAGTAAAACATTAGCAGCATTCATGGCATACAACCTCCTACACTTTTAATATAAACAATTGACTCTATATAAAACTATCTCTAACGAGTCCGTATACTTATATACAGTAGGCCTTCCCTCACAGGGATAATTGTTTGACGGGGTCAAACGTTGTTTCAAAATATATACTTTTATTTCGTGGTCAGTTAATGGTCAGTTACGGCTTCATAACATGATAACACGTATTGCCTCATCATGAGGCGGATGACATATAAGTCGTGTTACATAAAAGGGGCATCACGCTGAAGTTACTTTTTTTTGTCTTTTTTTTCAAATACTAAATAAACAAATCAAGTGAGACTCCTCATGGAAAATAACGATCGGATTTGGCTGAAATAGATTCATAAAAAAAAATATTAACTCTAAGATAATCGTCGGTATTTCTACCTGTCTGACCAACTTTTTGTTCGGGGATTTCCCTCTACTAGCGCATGCGCATAGCACACCATTTCTTTGTAAACAAAATGACTGGCCGTGTGAAGTAAGCGAAAGAAAAGGGATGAACCGTGTCAGCTACAAAGCGAAAAGTTGCCAAATGGTCAAAAGATAGCGCAAGGGGTACGTTACGGAATCATTATTGCCAGTGGGAAGTATACAAACAGAAAATAACTGCCCTAGCAGTTAGTACGGTGCATGTATTCTTCCGGGTAGCCGGCTAAGCTGAAATGAAATCGACAGAAATGCTAGCGCTGTTTATGTTATGAATAAATATCTAAAACTATTAATCTAGCTAGTATCATTGTGCGAGTTTCAACACAGATGAACTCAGTTTAATATGTTAATGGGCATGAATCGGAGAGAGTTTACTTGGTTTTTTATAATTATACAGTGGTGTATGCGAAAGGAAAGATAAGTGACTGGTTAGTTTGATTTGCCACGAGACCCTTCAAGGGATAACTGTTGTGGTGGCCACGGCGTATTCTGTTCACTCCTCTGTAGCTACTCGCGATCGGGGTCAAATGAGATGTGTGCGCTATTATATTTAAATAATTTATAATATTACCGGGATCAATAAAATTGTTTGATTTAATTATATTGCTAAATTAAACGATTTTTTTATTTTTTTTGACATGCAAGATTTAAATTAGTACTAATATGAATACCCGGCCTCCTCTGGCGCGGCGACGCAATATATGAAAATATCGCTCTTCGTCAGAAAGCTACGTTATCGCAGCTAGATTAAAAATGTCAAACATTTTTTTTTTAAATCGTAATTTTTCAACAGTTCATGTTTTCATACGATGTTGACTTAGAATGTATGATCATGTAACAACCTTTTCTCTATAAAGAATTAATTGTCGACTTCAGATAGAATCGGAATACGTATTGAAAAGAGGGGAAACAAATATTTGATTACCTTGTAAAAATGGCGCGTGCTACCGATAACTACAGCTTCTGTTTCGGACAAAGGGAACCGATTAAAGAAAAGTTGTCTCAACATAAAAAGGTCCATTTACAAGTATTCTTTAATCTCTGTAAAATATTGAAAAAATATAAGACAGAGGACGGTGCTACATGCCGGGCAACAGCATGAATTCCCAACAGCGAATCAATCAAATGCCTAACCCACTAATGAGGCTTCCTATCTGCGGGAGTCGGGAGACCCAACGGAAGATCTAGTGGCTGTAATGTTTCCCTTCCCAACATCATCATCATGTTGGGAGTGAACCCGATGCTCCTGTGTTCTGTCGCATGCAAAGCCATCTTGATTAAAGGAAGGTAGTAATCCCAGGTATCATCTTTACCCTTAATGCAGCAGCTTATCATTTGTAGCACCGTGCTGATTACCCATTCCACTTGTCCGTTTGAGTAGGGGTGATAAGGCGTTTTACGAGTCTTGGCGATTTCCAAATTTGCTTACGAAGTTTGGCCCCTGATCTGTATGAATCTGTAAGGGGCACCAAAAATTGGACAAGATGTTCTTAACCACACTGTATGCGACAGCCTCTGAACACTGGCTCGGGAGAGCTTCCATCTCTACCCCTTTGGTGAACTGATCCACCATCATCATGATATACCGGTTGCCAATTTTGTTAGTGGAGAATGGTCCCAAGATGTCAATGTGTACCCTCTCCATAGGGAATCCGGCATGGAAGGACTTAAGCCCGGTCTTAGTTTTTCTTCGCTTTTTGTTCCGCGTACAGGAACTAAAGGACTGTACGTGAAGTTTGACATCCGGCGTCATGATGTACCACCAGCCATGCTGCCTCAACCGGAGGAACGTCTTCCTCTCCCCCTCTCTCTCTTATGTTGCTATCATATGCACAGCTCAATGCCGTGTCACGCAAATTGGCGGGGAGAACCACCCGGGGCCGCTTGTGGCGCAAGGTAGGCTGTAAAAGTCGATACAATACCCCCTTTTGTAAATTAACGAATTCCTTATTAACCACAAGGCCTGGCGGCGTGACCATGTCCGAATAGCTTCGCCTCCGTCGGACAGCTGTTATTCTCTATCCATAACATCACTGGCCCCATGTCAGGGTCGCAGAGCTGTGCCGTCCTGAATTCGGTATATTCACACACCGTCACAACAAGTAGTTGTAAATGCTCCCAGCTCCTGAAATCAAAGACAAGGTGGAGGAAAATCACTCACGTGTTGTATGTTCGGTTTCAAGATGTATAAGAGACTGCACCAATACGTCACAACGATGTTGTCGCGTAGCTCACGAGATCTCGTGTCGGCGCGGTCCACGGTCCACAGTCCAAGGGAGATTACTCTCCCGAAATTCAACACAGATACATGTAAGCTGATTAGTGAACTACTTAAACACTGCCTAATACAAGTAATTCAGTATGGTGTAATCATTTAGAGGTACACTTTCAATCGATTGCACGTATTAGTATAACTAACGTAATGTAATACATTAGTTAAATTCAAAATCATATCACATACATTATCATGATGTCAGTTTGATCAAATCTATTTTTACTTAATAGTATGTGTGACAAACTTGCTGACCCTTTATTTCGCATGCAGGACCGATGGCAAATATAAGGATCGAGACCGCACCAAATAACACCTTTAGAGAATGTAGTAAACACGCTACACAACCTGTAGACGCTAAGAGGAAAAAACCGGTATCGGCAGGGTCATCAGAATCACGTAGGACAGGTCAAGACCTAGAAAAAGTAAGTCGTTCATCTATGTTTCATTTAACAGCTTAATGTTTTCCTACCACTCATAAACATTTATACATTGTTCGGTTATCCTCAAGAGCGGAACGCTAATATAAAAAGGAGCTATTAATGATTTCCATCTATTGATATTACATGCGCTAATATAAGTAATTATGATGGCTATAACATGAAACTATCATTACTCTGGCATTTTTTCGTCGTTGGAACTATTTCTTAATTTTTCGATTATTTAAAATAAATTCTGTTATCACATTATGTAAACCTCTCTTCTTTGATAGAAGGCGTCGAGTTGTTCGTGGGATAGAAATCTGGTACGATAGAGAATAGACACAAGAAATAACGTTCACATATTTACTACAGCAAGTAAGGTTCAACAGTAGCCATACACGTCCAGGCCACATTCATTCCTCTTCTGTAATCCGTTCGTTTTCCACTATAGGTCTTTCACACTACATACGCGTTCAGTCTCCATTTTAAAAAATCTACGACTTACACTAAAACTCAAAAATTAGCAAACCTACAACTACCCTGTAACTAACATAACTGAACTCTGGCTATTGTCAAGTGCGCTCTTTCCGTTTTATATGACCCCAGTATTTGTATGTGTTAAAATTGGATTACATCCCCATTGGTCAAAGTAGTGATGCACGTGGACACGATTTTTTTATTTATTCTAAGCCTTGACTAGTACCTTTAAAAAAGACTATAATTTATTCACGGTACTACCTTGGCCTCGTTCTATATTTAGCGCTTCCGAAAATAAAAATCATTACTACTACCGTACGTTTTCTACGGATCATTCTACTACCCCCTTCTTAATACAAGTTTGTGCCCTCACGAACTAAAAAACTATAAGTAAATTACCGAAAATGTCGTTTTAGCACTAGAACTATTTACAACTGCGAATTATGTCAACAGAAAAAAATGGTTTTCAGGCCTAACATACTTGAAAATTATAAAAATTGACCACATCAACCTATAATTTGTACATGTACATGTTTTAAGTTATCAAAAATTCACAAATCATAAAATATATCTTATGAACTTCGTTTATAGCTTGCACTGCCCTTTCACTCTATTCTTTACATAACTGTTACGAACATTTAATCTTTTGTTGAACTTTTAAACATACCCTTAACATACAGTTTTCTGTAATATGAAAACAATTCGAACGAAGACATAATCAGTAATATGCTTTATATTATTCACGTTTTCATATATAGGCACTCTACAGTGCTTTCGATCTCGCTCTCGAGCCACTGATATATATTGTCAGTAATTCAAAATCCGTCCGTGTTCATTTCATAACTCATACATAGGTTATCTTATTTACCTTAATTACGTTACATTGATCCAAATATGTGAAAGTGATGATAAGGTGATTCTGTGCACGTGGGCACTATTGATTAATTATAAGCCTTGACCAGTACCTAAAGAAGTAATATAATTTATCCACGGCAGCATCTTGGCCTCGTTCGATATTTAGCGCTTCCCAAATACAAATCAATACTACTACTGTACGTATTATACGGTCCATTACAAGCGTACTTAAGATTGACATTTGTTTGCTTTCTCAGCCTCCAGGGTTCATCACCTCTGAATTCTATAACAGGCAATGTCATAGTGTCAGAAATTCTTCCAGATGAACATATTTAGACTCCCTTTTGCTGTTGACATAGTACGGACCATCCATATGGAATATAATGCCACACAATCCTGCATGTGGAGGAGCCCAACGTCTGTAGGATTCAGCACACAATTAAGATGTTGTCGTACTAAATATGTTGTCGATAGCATAATGTATACACACACATTCTAATTTAGAAACTTGCTATTCTAGGTTAGTTGGTTTACAATAAAATATAAATGTGAGAAGGAGGCTAGGAATAGTGGAGGAGAACTAGTAGGTTTGGTTTACAGTTTATTTGTGTACAAGTTTTATTAATAACATTTTTCTTTCACAGCCAAAATATATTAATAAGATAAGATATATGTTATTCACTGTATATCGTATTATTACATGCGGAATGGGAAGCACCAACTGCGTAGAGGAAACACGTATCCTGACATTTACAAATCATCAAATGATTTTCGATCCGTACGATTGCAAGCAAAGAACAAAACACCAAACATTACCAAAGTCAGTACAGATCCGGGTATTCGGGTATTTCGTCTATGTTGCAAAGTGGAAAGCTTTCCGCTCTTACAGCAAAACTTGAAATTCGCTAAGGACATTCAAAATAGGTGTAAAAGTATATTTGATAACGGTGATTGGAACCATGTTTCGAAATCCCCAAGTCTCCTGGACCAACACGAACTGACGCTATATATAGCTACGGACAGAAATGTGGATGATAGTTCACAAAAGATGTCTGCCATAATGGGGGACCATGATTACAATGAAAAAACGGATGTTACAGGTAATATTTTTAACGTAATGGATATGCCGACCCAAAAGTCGATTCAAATTGTTTATCGATAAAAATATAGTTTCTGTTTTCGTAAATAACTGACATCTATATGCTAAGAAACATGTATCAATGTATTAATAATAATGTGTCAAGCACAGATCAAAACACAAAACATTACCAAAGTCAGTACAGATCCTGTATTAAACTTTTTTTAGTATTCAATGAATCAAAAAAATGCGTTTCTCTTTCTTAAACGTTTGCTTCATTTTTTGTCCCATTATTATTTGTGTTATTTCAACCTTTTTCGGGGTCAAAATCAAAAGTGATTTAATTACCCTAATATGTAAAAAAGATAATACCAATGATATATTCCTTTCCACTTTTTTGTATATCATTTTGATCATATTTGACATTAAAACGTTGTACAACAAAACTTAAACTGCTACAATTAAAAATGGTGACACAATGACAATTTAAGTGATCAATCTAGTGTCAATAAAGGTGAAATTTTGGGCTTTTGTGAAGCGGAAGAAATTTACATAAATACACTTTTTCAAAATGACCGCCGAATTGGTCATTTTTTTTAAATTCTTGTAAAAAATATTCTACACACAGCAGACATAAAGCTTTTTGAAATGTTTTGCAGATGCGTGTTTGCTATTAAACCAATCATAATTTGGTATATATTCCAAAAACCCGTTACACCAGATCAAAACAAGACTTTAACGTGACTGAAACCTCAGAAGGGTACATCCTTAACGTCAGTTCAAAAGCTAAAATAACATTTATAATAATAAAAAAAAAAAAAATGATCTTAATTTAAACATATTGAGTCAAAGACTCGTCTCCCATGTGGTAAAGCATATAAAAAGATGAACATTATATACAACAATGATAAAATAGTACTATGACTAGTTAATTGGTAAGATAATTTTACGTGTACATTTTAAAACCACTATCATCACAGAAACAGCTCTAAATGAAACGATAACCCGAGCTTTCCAGCGGTGGGGGAGAGCCCTACCATCATGGTCAGCCCATGTATTACATTTAAACTAAACAACATTTACATCAATAATGTGCTAAATTACACAAATTACAAAAACAATGAGCTTACAGGTTTTTAAACCATACAATACTTTTTGACACATTTCTTAAAAGATAAAAGGCTATTGCAGTTCTGTACATATGATGGTAAACTATTCCATTTTATGGACCTAGTAATGTAAAATACCTTTTAAAAACAAATGTTTCAAAAGATGGCATATAAAATACATTCTGTGTTGATGATCTGGTAGTTCTTGAATGGATATCGGATGTCAAAGTAAATTGTTCAAGTAATCTGGAGCCAGGTTGATTAAGACTTTGTATATTAAAATACAGTGGTTGTAGAACATTCGTTTTTTTTAAAGGCCACCATTTAAGTTTGCGAAACATTTCAATTAAAGGTGTACACAAATCACATTTCAAAATATCTCTGGCAGCTCGTTTTTGTAGATTTTCAATCTTTGCAGTGTGGTTCTGTCTTGCATTTCACCAGATATTAGAGCAGTAGTCAAAATTGGGATTAATGAAGCAATTGTTACACGAGAGACAAGATGATTGGGTCAGGAAAGGTCGAAAGCGTCTCATTTGGAAAAAAATTGATATACAATCTTGTTTGCAGTATCTGCAATTTGTTTATCGCAAGATAAACAATCGTCAATAGTAACCCCAACACGTTTTTCTTGTTTCACATTTTCTTATTGTCTGTCATTTATTAAAACAGATACATTTTCAGATTGTCTACAATTTCTTTGTGATGTTCCAATTAACATAACTCTAGTTTTTTTCTTTGTTCACACACATTTGGCATCATTATTTAAACTGGAATTAGTATGTTCAATTGATTTGCCATGTGTGTGAGCAGCTGAATCAAACATGTTTATTGTTGAGTTTTTTGTGACCAAGGGTAGATCATTCACATACAAGATGAACATGCAGGGCCCGATGATTGATCCCTGGGGGGACATCGACTGTGAGGGGTTGAGCATTTTTCCAAAAATTTGGAAAAGTACTAATTTCAACACTGAAATTCAATGATTTACAAACTATAGGTGCAATTGCTTTGGTACAACATTTCAAAACTTTAGCTCAATATTGTCCAGTCCAGTTGCTTTGGAAGTATCTGTATTGACCAAATACTTTTTTAACACTCTTTATCAACTTTTGGTTTATCAAAGGAAGCACCCTTGATGTTTTTCTTCAGTGTACTGTTGAAGCGTACACAAAGTTTCAGAAGGTCTACCTCCCTCTGTACTCTGTATATACTGTTTCGAAATATTTGTAAAATATTGATTAAAAACATTACTTATTTCAAAAGCATCGGTAATATCTTTACCTTCATGTTGAATACATTTTGGAGATGCTATTTTGGTTTAAGGACAAAGTGTTTTAAAGTGTTTCCAATAAAATTGGCTGGAATTCTTGCATTTTTCTAAGACTTTAGGAAAGTAGGGATTATTTTGCATTTCTGATCATAAAGGTAAGTTTGTTTCTCTACTTTTTGTACATATCTATGTTACTATCTTGTTTGGAGACTTGATTGTCTCACGTTATCTGACCTCTTAACTTCATTACAAATGCTTAAATAACATTTATATTTGAGCCTTTCAGCAAAACATGATCTTCGGAATTTTGGCTGAATTGTTCTGCCCCACAGTGCCCCACTCAAATGGTTTTGTAGAAAACGTTCAAACAAAATAAGTTGATCCAAGATATGTCACTTCTGTTTGAAAAAATAAATAAAAAAGTGGCATGAGTAAAACTTGAAACCAGTGCAACGTTATCTATATTTTCCGCAAAGGTTGTGGTTTCTGCTGAACAGCATGACATAAGAAACCTGGAGTGTAAAATGTTCTTGAAGTAGGGTCATATAACTAGCAGATACAAATTACGTAATTTTTCAGAGAAGTGTTTCAAAAAACATTGCAAAAGTGTGACACCTGATCAAGACTGTTCGTGTCTGATTCTCTTCCTCCACAACGATGAGACTAGCATTACTGTAAGTAGTTTTCTAAAAGCAGGAAAACGTGAAGCTTTTATTTAAGTTTATATCTTGAAGCTATGGTATAGAGTTTTTCAAATTACATTAATATATCCGAAATAATGACATATTTCCAGAAATGGTACATGAATATTAATATTAATATTTCCTATTTGTCTTCATTGTTTATTTTTAAATATTGTTAGTGAGGGGGGGCTGGGTTTCAGAAGACCAGTTATACTATTTTATTAAAAAATATTGGGAAACAACTACATAAATAAGAATATAAAGCTTTACAACATGTTTATTATATATCTAACCTGTGTTTAAATAAATTAAACTATTTGGTGGGATTGAATTTCCAAACTCATCAGTGGATGGCCTTGTGTGATACAATGGACTTTTTGGCCTGTATCTGTTTAGTGCGGTAATTTAATCCCATCAAATGTTTATACATGCAGCTTCATCAACAAACTATTTTTCTTTTCTCTTCATAATATGTATATACCGGTATATATTTTATATGTCTTTTCAATATCAAAATAAAAAGGTAAGAATTCAAACCATTAGATTCAATTATAATAAAAATTAGTATTAGTAGTTGTTTCCCCTAATTTGATTATTATTTTGATAATACCAACTTGTTTATATGTGTTTGTATGTGTTCTATGTCTATGCTTGTACCACTGTCTGCTACTATGTTTGCAAAGGGCTTAAATAGGCTATGCCTGCTGCCCAATCCATTTGTCCTTTGACAATAAAATTTATTGAAATAATGACATATGATCAAAACACAAGCCACACATGAAAATTATAAGCTTATTGTGACATAACATCGCATAAAATCCTAATATAACTGTAAGATGTGCATATGTACAGTTGTATTTGTGAGCGTGCATACACGTTTGCATATTCATGTTATAACTGAAGAAGTATTACTTTCACTTTTAAACTCCAGTATAGGTAAGTGTAGTTCAACAACAAAGGAGAACATCATTGCTGTGAATCGACTATCTTACTATCAAAAACATGATTTAAAACTAATTTATTTGATCACCAAACAGTCCAACGAATCAAATTAAACATTTATTTATACATCGTAACTTAACTTATCATTTGAATTTCATTGACAGGTACTTGAATCGTCGATTGTGTTGTATGTTCCGAGTACATCCATTGAGGTCGAGATAAGCCGACGAAGCCAATCGGTACGAGTTTTCAGAGAAGAAACAGAAAGCCCAACTTGCATTAGGCGAACACTTACACATATTCTAGGCGAATATCTGTTTACCTATGCAAAAGTAGTGCAGCAACGCATTGGTGAATATGAGGAAACAATCAAGTCTCCAAACTCTGACAGCACAACAGCCATACTTCGGAAAACCAAGGAAGCTGTGACTGTATTACTTACCCGACGAGTACTTACAGACTGTGAAACATCAGCAGCTGTTGGATCTACTAAATGTGAAATTCCTGATGACATAGATTCGGCATTGAATGGGTAAGAGGTTTTTTTGCCGAAAACATAATTCTTATTGCAATATACATTTTGGTAATAATTTATTCCCTAAATTTCAGAACCATCAACAGAAAGGGAGTTGTCGGTTAAAAAAAATGAAGCCATCGTTGCCATAGAGAAAAGGGCAGGTTTGCCAACAACAACAGTCGCGAATATAAAAACACAACTTTTTTATTGAATACGAAGCCGCTACAAAGTTCAAGATAGCACATGCCAGATTAAAGTTAGGCATTTGAATAGCTGAATGTATGCTATGTTTATATGTATGCATCTTCAATATTCTTTCTGCTACATTTTCAGAAAGAAAAACTGCGGCGTGATTGCATTTGGATTGTTTGCGGACAAATTTATAGTCTTTATCGACGAGAAGTGCAGTGACCAAGTACAAAAACAAACCACCCAAGATATAAAAAAAAACCTTTGCAGCGATCGATGCGACTTTAAAATACCTTTAAGAGTGATACATGTTTCACAAGACTTCTTGACAGACACGGGTTTGGAGCAAGGCCATGCATTCCAAACTGGATCTGACTCTGGCTCTATCGGAATGGTAACAAACGCAACTGTACACCCGGGTGCCACAGAGACAACCACAGAGGCAGATGGACCGACACATTTGGAACAGGGAATTCCTAAACACATCGTCGTGGCAATTACCGCAGGTCATATTTTTGCAAAAAGCAATGACGCATTTTTCGTCAGAAAAGATAAACAAACTGTGAAATTCGGGAAATGCATCGCAAAACAGTATCGCAAAGGAAACATTTCAGCAAAGCAATTTGACATCGCCTTGATAGAAGTCGACGATAACATGACAACCATCGACGTTTGCTCTCAAAAATTCAGAAATGATACTGGTGAATCATGTGACGGTGTTTTGTTCACAGGCTCTCTTAAACCTGGTACTGGTATGTACAAAAAAGGTGCTGCAACCGACATGACGGCAGGAGTTGTTGTCAGCCAGGATTTTCGACTAAATGGACCTCTCGATACGCAGAAAGGCTACTTGGTCGAAGGGCGCGATGGTAGTGAATTCGCTAAACGCGGAGATAGTGGTTCTATTGTATTTACGTTAGACATCAATGACGAAGAAAATAGAACTGTCAATCTAGTGTCGATTGTATCGCAAATATTGTCAGAGGAGTTTGCTAGAAAAATTGGGATTCCCGGAAAACTCACTTACAGCGTCCGCCTTGACAAGTGTCTTAAAAGCCTACCTAATGTGACCTTGCAAATGCCTAAAAAGTAATTTTGTTTACTACCCTATACGTACAAATGTATATATTTACATCATTATTACTTGTGATTGGGTCATGTTTATTCATTTATCTGTGATAATTCCTAGTGTATTTTGGATCTTATCAAGATTTAAGAACTAGTTTTTCTTATTGTTCCTTATATTACCGTAATGTCAATGCAGTATTTCGTGAACTATTCCGAGTTATTTAAATTCGTATTTGACGCGTGATATGTTTGCTTTGTATTTGGGTTGCTGCTACCATCTTAAAAACATATCTGTGTATCCTACTACTTTTACAATAGTACTAGCATGATATATTATTTGATATTTCCATTTTTTTAAAGCGTGGCTAAGGTACATGTATAAATACTGTGTCTAATTCTCTTTTGGACACCTCACCATTGTTTTTAGTTTTACTGATGTTTACTGAGTGCCAAAAAGAAAACCAATTACATTAGTAGATTTGTTTATTTTTCTTTTGATTTTCGCACCCGTTCGTTACTTTGATTTATCTTTTTACTTGTTAGGATATCTATTTAGTGGTTATATTTTAAAATGAAGTATGCATTGTCTGAGATTTTGAATTTTTAGTTTTAATATATTTTTGTAGCGTGATAATTAAACTTTCTTCTACTAATTATTCATTGTGTATTTTGGATCTTAATCATGAGTAAATATTTCCGTATTGTCAATGCAGTATTCCGAGTTATCTTACATCGAGTTAAATGTCTACTTTGTATAGGATTGCTGCTTCCTCCTTCATACATAACTAGATTTTCTTGAGAGAAAAAAAAACAAAAAAAACCTTCAATAAATCATTTATTAATCAGTCTTTAATCAGAAATAGCTGCGAGTTATTTTGAAACGAACTATGTTTTGTTTGAATATTTTGAGCTGGTGTAGTACGGTAAAGCCTGGGATATTTTTGTCTTAATCTTTATTTTTATTAAATAAATTATTGTCTTAATCATATGAAATATCGGTACAAAAACATACACTATTATTGTTCATTCACCATCTTGAAAATACGTTCCTACTTATTATCCTGATCAACATATGAAGTAAGAACATTACACGACATTGCATCAAAATAAGATTCCAGATCGAGGAATATAGAATAAAAAGCAATTCAAATTGTATTTTGTTATCTTTTAAGAAAAAGAATAGTGATTGACCTTCATTGAGATGGCGAAGACGGTAGAATGAACAAATGTGGCAACTATGGTTAACGCGCTAGATGAAGAAAACCTTCGTTGAAGGCTGCGAGTAAACTCAGAAAATACACAGCGAACAACTATTAAATGATCAAATCTTGATGATATTCCTCGTTATATTCGCGCATTTATATGCTGCTTACGGTCGAATAGTAAGAAACGAAAGCAACATCGTTTACTTTAGAGACATGGAAATTTGCAAGTGCATCCATTGAATAAGAAGTTTATCATCATTTATCTGTTGCGTTATTAGACAATTTTAATCAAGAAGTGTTACCAAGGTGTTGAAATTACGAACAAATTTGTCACCAGAATATTATGTATCGCTGAAGCGTGAAGAAAACATAGGTATCGATTCGCCGAACCTTCTTCCACTGCGTATATACGATATTTTATACGAAGTTAATTTATTATTTTGTATCGCAATGAACGTATACTCTTCAATATATAATATGATTTTCAGAGAAAGAATTTGTTATACTTTTTGTTTCGTTGTTTATATTCCTAGGGACGCATACAGATATATATTAATGTTGCACACTCGTATTCAATAGTTTTATTTCATCTTACATCTTTATTTGTTTTTTCAATATGAAGAGCTTTATTTTGAAGTGTTATCGATAAAAAATATATATTATAATGCTTGATTGAAGTTTTCAATATCAAAATATACATAAAAAAAAAAATGTTAGAAAAATTTGAAAGATGTACTTTTTTAAATTTTACTTTATTTTGTAATTTATAATGTACTGTTTTTGCAAAATCGATATTAACAATAACTTTTAGGATTGAATGGTATTAATTGTATGATTAAGAGCTCGTTGTCAATGTTTTATTAATAAAAAGAATTATCATATTCATTGGTTTTTTTATGTTTTACATAGATTGCATTGCTGTTGAATTTCAGGACGTGACAAATCTTTATTTTCCATCTGAAAGTTCCATCTTTATAATTTCTTAATTCTGTATTTCCATTAGAAGTCTTTATTTTACTTCCGTCTGCAAGAAACAGAAACGTATACAATATCAATAGATAAGATGAGCTATCAAAGTGATGAGAATACACGAGGACTAATATGATTGTTCCCAAACCTGGGTGTAAGACAGAACAATTTCCACTAAGAATAAGATTAATGTAATTTCACCTTTAATACTACTACAGCTCAACACTACACTGTAAATTAAAGAAAATATATATATAGTCTTTTTAATAATATTCATGAGTGGGGAAATTTGTAATATCAATGTTTTACTTTCTACACAAACTATGTAGTATTAAACGTGTGGTATTTGTAACCTATCTGATATAGTGTGTAGACGCGCCATATCGATAGGCGAAACGCTAAAGGTTATAGCATATATTATTAGTCAAATTAAGAGTTGAATTGAAAATTATTTTGATTAAAAATTTACAAGAAATAATAATCCGTTCTTGAAATGTTTCTGAATAAGAATAATTTTGATAAAACTTGTATTAAAAGACATCCATCATATATACGGAGTAAACAACCTGAAATAAAGAAATGAACAGAGATTGATACATTTCTTATCGATAGGATCACAGACACATTCGTTAACATATAAAATAGTTGTTTTATGACACAAGGAAATAATATAGAACCAGGTCACCTAGTAGTCAACAGAGCTATCAATGTATGATAGTAAACATATAAAACGATCTGTTGTATCAGACAAAATAGTGATAACATAAACTCAGGTGCATTACTTATACCGAATATGAACAGACTTCTTTCGGTTGTATGTATAAAAAAAAATCCAATTATAAAAATATAAAATGTGTTAAAATAATCCTAGACATTTCCTTTAATGTTACTATGACTTTACAATTTAAAGATAAACGAGGACTTTGATAAAAAGGCCTGCAGACATTTTACGTACTGTATATGTAACAGGGAAGAAAACTCGTCCTACTATTTAACCATTAATTTTATGTTTCCATGTGTATAAGCCGCCAATAAATAATGGCACCATATTAAGACTTGATCATAAATTATTTGTAACATAGTCACTATTAGATATAGTTACGCCGATCATGGCAGGATATTATTATATTGATATATATATACATGTACCTACGTGCATTATATCTGCGTGCATTAACTGATTAAGATATATATATATATAGAAAGTGTGTATCCCTGCGTAAACACGCAAACAAACAAATTTATAATAAGTATAGGCACGGACACGGACTTGGATAACAATATAATTCCATGGTATAGGTAATTAATTACGGTCATACATTTCTATAATAATCATCGTTTACAAAGGGTAAATACTAAGCTATGTAAGGTTGAATCAACTGACACTTAGTGTGTGATTATAAATAGAAGTAATAACTATAAATATAAATACAGCTGTCACAAGATGCTATAGCTTTACAATGCACATATATATATGTGTACATGTACTTAAATTGTAGCCGGTATCTAGTTAGATATATTGCAATTGGTTACTGAAGTCGGTAATTCACATATATACAATATAATTTATTACATTTTAAACATATATTTACATGTAAATATACCTGTCGTAGATAAAGTTTTCTAAGCATTGTATTATGAAGTTGGAAAAAGATATCGATGTAATTTTATATGAATCTTATATAATTACCTGATGTTATTTCTGACTAACAATGATTTATATTATATATATGCTAAATAGACTTGTATATGAAATTAAATATGTGCATGTATACATATAGCTGTAAATGCTAGACACATGGTGTTAAAGTATTACAATACACATATATATGTGTTTACATGTACTTAAATTTTAGCTAGTATCTAGTTTAATATATTACACTTGGTCACTGGATTCAGTAATCCACATATATACAATATAATTTATACATATTTACATATAGATATACAACTATTTAGGGTTCAAGCGTATATATGTATAAGTTACAGTATGTCAGTACAGGTCACATATTGTCAGTCACTTGAGTCGGTTTGAAGTGGGCCATAAGTATTGTTCGACACTACAGAGGAGGATTTCGTAGTACATGCAGCCGCAGCTGTCTGGTGGGAAGACTGGTTCCAACGTCTGGGCGTTGGTGTAGAAACCTTATTTGGCCGATCGCGATCGGCTAGTGTCCTGGAACCAGTAGGAGGTGTTGTGGATACGGGCCGCGTGGGTGGGTCAGGGAAGGCAGAAAGTTCAGATAGAGAGGTGACCTGTATCCGAGACACATCACTCTTGCGGAGGTCTATTCGGCCATCCTGGGTCCATACTCCTGTAAAGGAACCGCTGTTTTTTAGGAATCTCGCCTTGTTAAAGACTTCACTACGCTTTTTGGTGAGAGCTTCATTGATGTAGAAGGGAGGTTTTGTGTTGAAGTTTGTTGCAGATTTATTATGTTTAAATAGCGCGAAACGCTCAGCGTAGACCATTGCACGGGTATGGTATGATACAAATCTAACTATGATATCCCTCGGGTGGGAGGATGTCTTTGGTCCAATCCTATGAGACCTTCCGATATCTCGCTTCGTGATTATTACCCCTAATGTGTTGTTACAGGCATTGCTGATGATATCGTCAGTATGCTCATTTTCAGTTTCTGGAATACCCCTAAACTTAAGGCATGTACGTCTGGAGTACTGATTCATTTCTTCAACTCTCTTTTCTAAAGATCCAAGTTTACTCTGGAATGATCTATCCTTAGACTAGATAGAAGGGAGCCCTTTACAAGAGTGTTGCCCAGTAGTTGTCCGATCACGTCTTTTATCGTATCGGGATCTGTCAGAGATTGAATAACACCATTGCTTTTCTTAGTGTTCTTGGAAAGCTCAGGATGAGGCGTTGATGAAGCCATATCAATCCT